AGCAGATGGCAGCATTTATTAACTTGCCAAAAGTGGCTGTTTCCTGTTAGAAAATGGAAAACTAGAGAGAACAATAAGCAAGTTTTATTTGCAGGTTTTTGTTTAACTTTGTTGCTGTTAATTAGAACATTAATGCAGCGGGTGATCAAAAGAGATCATTTGGTGCCTTTGAAAATCATCTGGAACCAGCAGGCAAAGTTTATAGGTCTGACTCTTGTCTTGCTTTAATCAGGTGTAAAATCAGCCTAATTAAAAGGAGAGGAGTAACAAATCACCATCTGGACATAGCTGAGCAAATGAACTTCTTACAAAACTACCCAAAGAAATGACAGGTTTCCAGAAGAAATCTGGGTCTGAATCTGTATCCTTGCTCTTTAGTCAGCCCAAGGCTAGCTGGGCTTCCTCCTCATCTGAGGTGGGCAAGGCAGAGACTGTGGATCTCAGATGAGTCCTGCTGTGGTGCTGGGACTGTGGAAGTGCAGAAGCACTCCTAAGCCCCCTATTTTCATCATGAATTTTGCATGCTGACATATGACTTAACTATTAAAAACGCACAGCTGTTTAGCATGTGATTCTATATGCACTTGCCAAGAGAGAATTCTTTAGAGATCTTGGAATCTATGAACGGACAATTGTAAAATGTATAATTACAATTATATAATGTTAAGAAAATATTAAAGAAAAAAAGAAAAAAAAAACATGCAGCTTCATTTGGTGGTGCAGAAATCCATTTTTCACCTGTATCTGGATTGTCCTTAGCCCATCTGGTTCCCAGGAAAGAATACTTTAGATCCAGAATAACAATGTGAGAATAACATTGCATGAAAATACCACAAGAGATTAAATAGACTAGGACACTCTGTCTGGAAAAGATGGAATTTATGGGAACATACAAGTAAGTAGAAACATGAATGGCATAGAGAAAGCAAATGGGGATCAGTTAGTTCTCTTCTTTGCAACATAAGGGCTCAGGAGCATTGCATGAAAACTCCCAAGCAGAGTCTTTAAAGGAAAAAAGAATAACTATTCTGTGCAGCCTATCTGTGAAACTTATTGTCACAAGATTTTGCAGATGACAGAGAATAAATCCAAAATTGAAAAGATAAATTAATGAGAGAAACATCCATTAAGAGCTATCAGTCACAGAGTTGTGAGAACAAGTTTCTGCTCAGGAGGTCCCAAAACCAAAGCCTGCTGGAAGCTAAAAGGATCTTCTAAAGGGCTATCACATGCCCCTCACTAAATATTTGCTATTTGTTTTGTTGAAGACTCTTTATTCTCAGCACTCAGTCAGTCACTTGTGCTCAGTTTTTGTGGGGGTTTGAGGTAAGTAGCTAAGGAAGAAATGGTTCTAAGCATAGAGCATAAATGGTTCTAAGCATAGAGCATTTCTTTTTCCTAGATCTTTAACGTGACAGGTGCTAGGGGTACTCTTTACTCGGTCACACTGATTCACCTTGTTCTTTTTTTAAAGATAAGAATACACAAAGTGCTATTTTCTTTGACTTTTTGGCTTTTTTCTTTGACTTCAGATTTAGATCCTTGTTGGTGGTTCCACAGATGGAGGGAAGAACTGAGAAACAAGCTGTAAACTGGAAAGTAATATAACAAATTACTAGATTAGTAATGGAAAGGTTAGGGAAAAAAGTGGAAACTAGTTCACAGGAATATACCTTCGCATACATTTAATATGAGATTCTCTGTGATTATATTCACTATTTGTGAGTAAACACCTCATATATACATAAATACAGACACACAGATATTTCAGATTCTTCTTTTCTGTTCTGTGTCAAGAACCATCTTCATCCAAGACACACGTAGCTTAGGCTGCAATGCATAACAAGATTAGAAAAGGAAAGGAAGCATTTCACYGTAAGAGGCCATAGCATAGGAAATTATCCAGAACCCTCCTAGTGTGTGTGACTTCCTAATAGTCACACAGAGATGGGAAGTAAATGATGGGAAGTCATTTACTTCCCATCTGTGATGTGAGGATCCCCATTTCCACACCCGTTGCTTACTCACTCATCTCTGCCTGGAAGGGAGGGCACTGCACATGCAGATCCACACATCTGTGGCCAGGGATTGTCCATCRCAACCCATGCTCACCACAACCTGCACTCTGTGCAAGAAACTGTTTAGAAATGAAAGGTGGCTTTACGGCAAGAGAGGCAAAGGTCTYTCCACTGAAACCTTGAAGGAAAAAGAGAGCCCTTGGAGATTTTAGACAACAGTCTCTGTGAAGGGGTTTATTGTTTTACTGCAGTTGTATGTTTTGGTTTGTGTTTGGGATTTTTTTTTTGTTGTTGTTGTTTCTTCTTAAAGTTTTCATGTGTGAGAAATTCCTATAGTTTCTGTTGTTTCTTCTAAAAACAAGTAGCACACTGGGTGCACAGAGGGCATAGGTTTGTAGCTTGTGGAATCAGAAGTAATGGTGCSTCCCAGCCCAGCCCTAGGGACAGTAGCGTTCAGTAGCTAGACCCCTTTTGCGCCCATGCAGGAAGCAGAATTGGCCTACGACGTGATAATATAGCAGTAAGTATAAGCYACATCTTTCCTCTGGTCTATGACTGTTATGGTAGATGTGTTACAGGAGATGCTAAAGCAGAAATCTGGTATCTTCAGGTATCTTAGTGCAACTCTGACGTAAAGAAAACACTCAAATTTTGATAATGCTAGCACWGAGTATGTTGGTTATGGGTATATCTTAGCAACACCACCTCTTGCAAGAGACAACTCTTGCAAGAGGCAAGAGTCTACTTAAGCAAGCAAAAATTAGGGCAAMCTTAGAAGTACTTTAATGTGAACTGGAGACACAGCTGTTTACTCACCATTTACCCTTTAAGGTATTATCATGGAATGAAGAATCCAGTGTTCAGTTTAAGTAGATGAAATTCTGGTGCAGGTAGATTATATCTTGTGTAACTTCTTTTTTTTTTTTTTTTAATTAATCTGTTTAATACTCTCCTTACTCGTACTAATCTACTTAAAATGCAGGTGTAATTTCACTCCTGTTTGTGTGCTCAAACCCACCTGCTGCAGGTTTGGGTTCAATTTCTCATTAAAAACTTTTAAATAGTGACACACAAGTTAGAGACAGTGACAGGTTCTGTGACCAAAGAAACAGCAGCCAATAACAATTGGTTCTGGATAGCACAGAGGTCTTGAATAGAAATAATATGATGTGAGATTCTTTTCATTGACTGATACCAAACTAGAAATGACTGTTAGCACAACCAAATCAGTACTATAACTCTGGGGACATGTTGCAATGACAACCTAGAAGCTAATTTTTTAAATGTACTGAGAAAATTTTGTGCTTACAATATGCTCAATTGCCTCAACCTATGAGAAAACACATTTTTTTTCCAAACTGTGGWAGAACCAAAACCATATTAACATTGCTGTGGTAAGCAAAAGAAAGAAATACATTAAAACAGGTGACGRCCTCAAAGAGACATTTATTTTATATGTATTCCTATAGTGTAAGYGGGGCTTTTTTGTAGGAATTGTTTTAGCTTTTTCTTGAAAACACTTTTCATTTTCCCCTTAAACTGGCTAGTCTCCCACCTTATAACTACGTTAAGAAAGTTTTACAACCAGGATATGATACTGACACCTAGAGGAACACAGATATAAAAATAAACACACATAAGAGTTTTCCAACTTTCTTTCAGACTGTGTTTTTTAGTAAGGCATCTGCTTAAACTGGGAAATGAGAGCCTAGAATGCAATAGGTTCTTCTGTGAATGATTTACAGTGTAGTGGACACATTACAATGAATAGCAAATAATAATTAGGTTTTCCCGCAATCCAGCTTAACACTTATCTCTGTGTGTCTGTGTTTATATATCAAATATACTTCCAAAACACAAAAAAAAGTAATGTACAATTCAAGAAAATATCCAAAGCTGTTACAGTTTTGGCTTCCTATTTATTGGTTTACAGTTATGTACAACAGTATCTTATTTGCAATATCAAGTGAAAACTTTATGATTTATTTACAATGTGAGCTGGTGCCTTTAACTATGCAATTGAATTGTCTCAAGTTTTGCTATATTTTTATAATTCATAGTAGCAAGAGCCCACTCTGGTCTATGCCCCTTAAGTCCCATTTACGGGTAGAGTTAAGTAGTAGAYTGAAACAAGGCAGATGACAGACGTATCTCTGAAATCCCATTCCTGGGTATAATTGAAGGAAGAATACAGCATCTCCTGCATTGCTGCAACCATTGTATTGACAGCCAAATAACAAGGTCTCTCCACTGAGAATAACATTCCCATCCTTGTCAAAGGGAGACATGTGAGAGTTGGAAGCAGCACATACTTCAAGCTACAGCAGAAAAACACCYGGAAAGTTCTGAAAAGGTGCCTGACTTATCCTGATTTATCCTGCCAGAGACCCCCAATGCAAACAAATCTATCTTCCTAGWTATGTGGACAACAGTATTTTAAGGTTATTCTTACACAAGAGATTAAATTAGGAGGAAGTTGAAGAGGAAAAATAAACATTTTCATCATAATACAGAAGTTCATTCAGAGAATCACAGAATAATTAGAGTTACAAGGGGCCTGTGGAGACTGTCTAGCCCAATTCAGGACAATTCAGGGCCAGCTTCAAAGTTAGACCCCGCTTCAAACTCAGAGCAGTTTGCTGAGGGATAGACCCAGTAAAGTTTTGAATGTATCCAAGGATAGAGACTGCACAACCCCTGGGAACCTGTTTCCATGTTTGAACACCCTTAGGATAAAAAAAAAAGTCTCCTACACTCGATCAGAATTTCTTCCACAGAAGGGTAATCCAAGCCATTTTATTGACCTACTCATAGTATTTTTATTGCTAACAACAGTTTTAGACCATCCCCTAAACCAAAAGTAATGAGGGCTATTCTTTGAGCTTTTGAAATAATTCTTGTTTTTTTAAAAAAAAAAAAAAAATCTGATATCTAGTTAGCAAGGTACTGATGCTTAAAATATTTGCCTAGATTATATCTCGGTGCAAGATGTGTACTATTCCACAGCACCAGGTAACCAGTACTACAGAGGTACTTCTCTTGTCTGTGACAAATCCAATAATTCTSGATGTTGCACAGCAGTTACAGAACAGCATGCTTATGACTAGATGCAAATTGCTCACACAGAATGCATGGTGGTTTCCAGGTCTTAGGAACCTTGTGTGTTTTACTTCCACAGCCCTCATGAATAGGAGAAACAGACAAACTAGACTAAATAGACAAACTAGACAAACTAGAATAAGCTCATTCTTCATGTTCAGGTACTACCAACTGAAAATCAGTCTAGGGTATATCTTTCCACAGATTTGGTGATAAGGAATTAGAAGACATTGTCAGATACGGAAAAATATTGCATTCTTATCAGGAAATATATCTTATCTTACATAATGCTTATTTTATGACAGTAAAAGTCATGACCACAATACACAACTGTTGGTATGTTCATATGTTCTTAGTCACAACGGTGTTGACCAAGGTATAGCAACTCTGATAATTGGAGTTACTTCTCTGATTTAATGTATTAGGAAGAAAACAGCAAACAAACTACTCTGGAGATCAGTATCCGCTCTGCTGTATCTTGACAGACAGAGAATATGAAGATAAATGCATACTGAGGCCAAGGGACTCATTTGCATCAGGCAGAAGGGAAAATACAACTTTCCCTGCACATGACTCTTAAAAGATGCAGAGTCTTCAATAAGTATATGAGATTCAAAAAAAWTTTTTCCCCTTGATACAGATGTACTGAGTAGCTCTTACCACCAGCATGAGGAAGGGGCATGGAGTGCAAGAACAGTTTTACTTATTAAAAAATTGGGTTTTGATTGCCACAGAAATATGAAAAATGAACAAAGATATTCCATAGGCTTTTCCACAGTATTGTAATCAGCAGCAAACTGTTGCATTTCAGTTCTCTTCACCAATAAATCTGTTTGGCTTGGCTGTCCTAATACTTGTTCTATAACCCGCAGATCATCCTCAGGCTACAGCAACAAATTATCTCCTTGAAGGTCTTCCTCATTTCCTGGCTACGAAATGCGTAGATCAAGGGATCAATCACTGAGTTGCACATAATGAGAATGAGGTACATGTTGAAGTGAGACATGAAGCAAACGCAGTAGAGGTTTTGAGGGCAGGWGATCATCAGGATGAGATGGAGAAAGAATGGAGCCCAGCAAAAAATGAAGATACCTAGTAGCATAGTCAGAGTGATGGCTCCCTTCAGGCTGGTTCTTTGATGGACGGAGTTGTATCCAGGCAAAGCTGCTATTTTCTTCACATGAGTACGAGCCAGGAGGAACATATGGATGTATAGTGAGACCATGAGGAACAACATGGTGAAAAACATAGTGATGAGACAGATGATAACATAAGTTGATTCATAATAAATAATGAAGATAATGCCACAGCCTGTGCAAAAGGTCCAGATACATGCAATGATGAGCCCCGATCTTTTCACTGTCATGATGCTGTGATAACGCAAGGCATAGAAGATAGTGATATACCTGTCTACTGCTATAGCCAGCAAACTGCACATGGAAGCCACCACAGAGATGCAGATCATTGAATCAAAGACATTGTCTATATGACGGATGAAGGCATCTTCCATGATTATGTGCCTATTATTTATTAAGTATATTGTTATGGTCTCCCAAGCATTAGACACACTGACCAGCATGTCAGCTACTGCTAAACTGCAGACAAAGAAATACATGGGCAAATGCAAGTTCTTGTTCTTTGCTATTGCACATATAACTAAGATATTTTCAAGGAGGCTTACAATGCCCAGAGTTAGGAACACCTCGGCTGCAATGACCACTTGTTCACATGGTGATGACTTGCTCTTGACAGTAGGCACAGTAAAGTTGCTGCCAGGGGCACTCAGATTTTGTTCAGAAAAGTTCAGTGGAGAGGACGTGTTCATCTCTGGAAACAAATACGTTCTGTACTTTCTGAGGGACTTGCCAGGGAGTGAAATAAATGCATTTTCCAACAGGCAAAAGAACCTGCCAAAAAAAATATAGTATGACGAGCACAGGCAGAAGTTGACAAAACAAACAGCAGCTATTTAATTTGGCATGTACACATCCTGACTCTTCCACACCATATTCCTGTACTGATTCTAAACTGACCTCTCACTGGTTCAGAGTTTCTCTACTTATTTCTTTATTGGGGAATTAAAATCACAAACTAATGAAGAGATTCAAACACTCTTCACTCCTGCTTGAATTTGTTCTATTTAATCTTCCAAAAGTGAGCACAATGTTCTGGAAATTCTACAGAACACAGAAAAGCTAACAGTTTTGAGAGYCTCGGAGTCCAAAAATGCAGGAGAATACAATATTAGGTAAGGCTGAATTCGGTCATCTGGTTATAACATATGTAAGTATGGATTATTACAAGAATTAAGAAATAAGCACTTTCAGTAACAGATTTAAATGCTTTCCTGATCTCCATACTTCTAAAGTTTGCATGAACTGCATTATAAACCATATATCTTTGCTATAATAACAGGCTTAGTTAAGAGCGTTGTTTTTAAATACTAACCAAGGCAAATCCATACATTCCATGATGCACTAAGGTTACAGAGTTGGTGTGGATGGATTTCTACCATGAAAATAAGCTTACTATTCCAGGCTGGGAGTATTTATTCAATGTTTCCTTCAGCAATGAGAATATTCAGGACAATTCATAAGTCATCACTTTCTTAATCTGAAGAACACTTCTGGCTGATTGTCAGTGACTCAGTACAAACAAAACTCAAAATCTTTAAAGATAAATCATTTTCAGTTTTTAAAAGTAACCTTTCATTTATAATCAAGAAGTAACCATACCTAAATGAGTAGGAGCTGCTCCTTCAGTTGCTCTTCCTCTTCATTGCTTGCAACCTTTCACGGGGAGAGCAGAAGTTTCCTCCCCCCTCCTCATCCAACATCTGGGGCTGGGGACTCCTTGSTCGGGACTGATGACATCATGGAGAAAAAGGAATGAGCAAATCCATAGAGTCAGGGCTGACCACGTATAAATTACTTACTGTGCAACTGCCTTTTTATAGCAGAGACATAATGACTCCGGTACTCAGACTGTGGCTCCTCCTCCCTTTGCCCCTCTCAACTTCTCTTTTCACAGATTCTGTCAGCAAAGCCTTGGGTTTTTACCACCATCTAGTGGTCTTTTGTTGTCTTTATTTTTTTTTTTAAACTGAACAACGATTCTGATCTAAAATTCATGATGAAGCCTTTTAAAATTCTTGCTTTTTAATATATTCTTAGGAGAAAATGATATGAAAGGGTAAAAYGCAGTAGGCATGTTCTTTTCCCAAAGATTTTCACTCATTTGGCTTTCTATTCTAGTCCTGACTGACAATAAGTTCGTATGGCAGTAGTATTCCAAATGAGGTAAATCCAAAAGATCTTTATTAAAGCAGGAGGCTTATTATTATTCTAAGCATTTGTGTTACATTCTCAGTTATAATTTTGGAGGAATAAGACCCATGCTACCATCAAACTCAAAGAGCACAAAAAGAGCACAAAATCAAGCTCTCCTGCAGCAAACAGAAGATGTAAGCCAAATAATATGAATGGGAATATAGAAGTAAAAAGAACAAATAAACGATTATGTTCTGGCTAGATCCATAATAGAGATTTTGATATAGACATAGGTAAACACTGCACTGTGCATGGAACCAGCCTTCCCTGATCTGATGTGAATTCCTCCAGGATCCAGGCAGTCCATGTTAGAAACTTTTCAATTTCAAATGTTAATTGCATAAGGCCCCTATCCTACTGTACTAACCAGGAATTTTCAACTGGCTTCATTTGAAAGAATCAGCAGATGCTGCCAAAAGGACCTAAGTGAAAATAAAGAAGGAAAGTACAAAATTAAAACAGGAAGTCAGTGCCTGTTTTGGTCTTATATAATTCCCTTCCATTATGAAGTATTAAGAGAGAAAGTCACTTCAGCCACATATCTGCCTGATATATCACACCTGATATATCACACCTGACATATCACACCTGATATATCAGTCACCAGAGCAGGAACAGTGGCAGATTCACTGAAAGACTTTTCCACCCATTGCCCACCACTGAACTACAAGGGACCACTTCAAAACACCCCTTCACCCAAAAAGTCATCTAAGACAAGAGAGGCTGTGATCATTCTAAGCTGCGGGACAAGTTACACTTCCTCAAAACTGGCAGGCCTAAAATCTTAAAACTGAGATTCTAAAAGAGCAAGTTTTCACACCATCTACTCTTTAAAACAAAATCATCCTCCAGATAATTGTATCACTCAGCTGCAGTCTCATTAATTTCAYATATAATATCCCAAATTTGGGATAACCTTTTCTCACAGAGCTAGAATTTGTTTTTGCAAAGGATAAAAGGGAAATTACTTTCATCAAAGACAGATACTGGTTTTGCCAATGAATGCTGAAATGATGCCTGTAGTCCAATGTGCCCTGAACATTCTATAGGAAGAGCTTATTACACTTCGACGAATTTGGTTATTAATCTGTTCTAATCCTAATAGGTTCAGAATACAGTTTATTGAAGTCAATAAAAATCTACACAACTTGTCTAGAGGTAATACATTGAATCAATTAAATTCCRGTGCCTTTCTGTAGCTGTTTTTTTCTGTTCAATGAAAATATATTTGTCGTTCATAACTTAGTTTTGGATTGGTGCACTTGGCCTATTTACAGGCTCTCCCTTCTCTCTATTATTTTTCTGCACTATCAKTAGCACAGTGTTTCAAAGCCACAGAGTGTCATCTCAAAATGCATTCTGCTTTTATAGAAATAACCTATGGACCCAGGGCAAATGTAAAGATCGTGGCCTGCTCTGAATTCTAGCATATGTTCTCTAACTTCCCCAAACACGGACAACTATTTCTCTTGATCTTTGTTCTAAGCAGCTTTTGCTAGTCCCATCAAGGCATCCACTCTTACCTCCACAATATTACCAAAAAAAAAGCAGTTCACTTAATAATGGCAGATTAAAAACAAACAAAACAAAATAAAAAGCACTTTGCTTTTTATAAAAAAAAAAAAAAAAAAAAAAAAAAAGAGGTGGAGAGGTGGATAGGTGGTGATACAGCCGGTAAACTCCTCAGTAGTAGGGAAGAAGGTTGTCATACAGGGTGAAAGGAATTTTAGAAGATATATGCTAGTCCACTAAACTGGACAAGGTCCTGCCTAATTCCTAAACCGTAAAAAGGTTTATTAATCATTGTTTTTATATGTCTTCTAGTGGGATCCAGTTCCAATAGTGACTGATACCCCATTTTGTGAGAGAATTTGTCAGCAGTACAGACCTAATAGATCTTACGGAGGTGTTAGCTACAATCTCTAAGAAGCACAGCTGGCCAGTGCCTAACCRAAAAGAGGTTCACTACTCACTAATAGACTGAAAAAGAACATTTAAGAGGTTCTTATTAGCTACTACTTTCTATAAGAGAAATGAAACTATTTCCTGCAACAATATTGTTGCTTAGCTAAGGAGAAGACAATATAACTTTCTGCAACACTAGTTATATATATTTATATAAAAAGTCATTAAAAAAAGTCATTAAAAATGCTRCTGTCATCAAAGCTGTAAGCTGCCAGGTTTGCATCTTCTTTTTCATGAAATAAATTCAAAATAAATTCATGCACAAACAGGCATTGCCCTGAGTGTCTTAACACATCATTACATTTACAAAATAGACTAAAAAACAAGTGTTACTCCTGACTACTATAAACAACAAACTTCTTAAATTCAATGCCCCTTCCTCCATCCCTGTCAATTTCCTGCATTGATTTTGAAATGTCAGCTATCTTAAAAAAAAAAAAAAAAAACTGATAATTCTTTCTTGGGGGATTATTCTGATTTTTCTATTTGTTTGTTTTAATAAACTTTTGGTCTAAAGAGATTCCTAGCAGCTCTCTCCACCCCTTCCCTCTTCCTCACATCAGATGAGCATAGGACCACATTATGGATCCTCCCTTGGGTGTGTGGCTGTTCCTGAACAGCTCAGTGTCCCTTCATCCTGTGCTGAGTGATCAGTTTGGGGTACATTAGCCCGTCATGGATGCAGAAAGATCACACAGATGTTAAAGGRCAAAGCAGAGCAGGTAAAAACTGTATGAATAAGCACAAAATCACGTATTCATGAAGAGTCATCATTACAACAGCAAAATTGCAGGTACAGCATATTTCATGGGCAGATCCTACTCAAAGAATGACAAATCTCTATGACTGTACAAATGCTGTCTAGATGTAAATGCACATCCTACCTAGGCAACTTCCTAGAATGCTATGAGCCTAACATCAACATTTCTGTCTTTAGAAGTGCTTTTTAGTGATGTTGCTAACTTCACTTCATAGATAGACAGGTGCTTTGCTCACTCTCTATACTGATATACAAGCTGACACACATGAAGTTATTTCTTATTTAGGTTTATAAAGACACCAAGAAAGAATTAAATCTTGACATTTAGCTCAGAATTGAGTGGAGGGTTTTTTTGTTATTGTTGTTGGTTTTTTTGTCAAGTCCTTACTACTCTATTCTGAGTTTTTCTGCAATAGAGACTTGCAATGTAAAGTATCCTTTTTTAAAGTCATGAAGAGTCATTGTTTTGAAAGTAAAATGAATGGAAAGAAAAATATTTCAGGAGTAGAAACTCATTTTCTAKTATTTACCTTTTCAGAAATAAATATGCGAAGATTTGACATATTTGATTCCCCAGCCACAGCAAAGTTAAAAACACACCGATGTCAGCTAGAAACAGATTTGGAGGAAGGAAAGAAGCTAAGCACTGTGCTGGAACATGGAACACATTAGCAAAGTTATCAAAAAGTAGGCACTAAAACCGCTATTAAGAGTGAAGTAGGACCTAAGAAAAGTCTTGTCATATTTGATTTGTAAAGCTGCAAATAAGCATCACCTTTCTAGCTTTCCTGGACTTACAAAAGCCCAGAGGAGTTTTTTTGTTTTGTTTTGTTTTGTTTTTTATGGCAGGTTTTGAATCATGAGGAAAAAAAAAAAAAAAAAACTTTCTGCTCTTAATTCCACCACGTATATGCAGACAGAACTTATGTACGTATTTTTGCAAAGAAAGCCCAGCATGCCTTCAAAGAGACAGATGTCTCTAGACCAAGCTCCATTTCTAATGAAAATAACCCTGGAAGCCCAGTGCAGGGGTTAGTGATTACAGATAAAAGGCATAGCAGAATGGTGTCTAAAAAAAAACCCAGTTTGCTACTGGTTCAGTTGGGAAATCAATTTCTGAGAGAGCTAAGCTGGACTATTCCACAGTTCCTCAACTGAAATATATTTCTTTATGCCCTCTCTAATTGCCAGTAAATCAAAAGATGAAATTGCTTGGCATTTTTGATCTTTCTTATCTCCTCCTGCTAAGCTCTTCATTTATTGCAATTTGGAGGTCAGTTCTGGCTAGAAGTCATAGCCTTCTAAGTGGTGAAAAGCTGTGTCTTTGAAAAAGTTACAAAAGTCAATGAAGTCTGAAATGCACCTGGAAGAGTGTGTGTATATATGTTTTTTTTTTTTTAAGAAAGTGATTACAATATTTTTATTTGAGGGATAAAAACTTGACACTGTAAAACTCCGGGAAAAAAAAGTTAATCTTAAGAGAGAAGGAGGAGTGGGGAAAAAAAAACCTAAATTGTGAATTTTACCCATGAATTAATGTGCAAGTTGCCAGTCTTCATGGTCTCCAGGACTGACAAGTTCAAATGCTCTTAGAGGAGATCATGCGAGGATGGAGGAGCA